GTTCGGGCCAGGTTCGGGACCAGGGACACCGGGATGTGCTGCGAGGCACCAGGATGGAGTTGGCCCCCGCCCCGATGGGGATGGGGATGCTGTGGTTCGGTCGGTGCGCGGGTGAGAGGATGATGGGAGCCGAGTGTTGCCGGGCTGGGCAGGGGTCAGAGCGCTGGGAGAGTGGAGGGTGTCGGCAGGAGCCTCTCCAGCATCCCGGCTCTGTGGGCATCCTGGTCCTTGGTGAGGAGGAGATGCAACCCCCCTGTCCCTCCATGCCTCCAGCTAAGCCCGCTGTAATTACAGCTCGGCGGCTTTGCTGCTGGCAAAATGAGTAATTAAGTCTTCCTCAATCCATCTGCACTCAGGCATTGCCCTGGCCCTGGCCCTCCCTGCCTCCTCCTGCCCGCTTCTTCCTCGCTTGCTGCTGCCCGCCGGGCACTGCCTGTTGCAGAGGATGGATTTGAGCTGGGCTCAGCAGCGTCCTTTCCCTGCTCTGGGGTGACACCCGGCTCAGGAGTGTGCTGTCCCCACTCTGGGGGTGACACCCGGCTCAGGAGCGTGCTGTCCCCACTCTGGGTGACTCCCATCTTGGGTCTGAGAGCAGCTCCCTCCTCCCTGTGCCCAGCTTGGGGTGTCGTGGTTGTGCCAAGTGTGTGGGTTGGGGTCCCGGGCAGACCCTGCCCAGCCTCCAGCACAGCTCTGTCCCACAGGAAGAGCTGGGCTGTGGTTCCTGTTGGAATACAGCTGGAGAGCAGAACTGGGAGTACTGCTCCACTAGTGCCATCTCCAGAGCCTCTGGAGAGGCTGCCCTGCCTGGCCAGGGTCCTGCAGCCATCCCTGCACCGACCTGAGCTGTCCTCAGCCCTGCCACCTTTCCTGGGAGGCATTTGGATGCCCCAGGCTTTTTGGGAGAGCCTGGCAGTTCGTGTTAAATGTCAGGTGCCCATGTGTGCCCTGAGCTGTGTGTGACACCAGCTGAGCCACATGGACGTGGTGCCACTGCAATGCCCGAGGCACTACCCTGGCTCTGGGCATGGGGCCCTTTGTGTGTCCCACAGCATCTGTGGCTTTGCCCAGTTTTGGCCCCTTTCAGTGATGCCACCTGAGTGGCACCAGCACGCCCTGTCCTTGGGCAGAGACACCTGGCAAGGCTGTGGCCCTCCGTAAATGGCCGGGAAGTGTCTGGAGGGAGCTGTTGGGCAAGAGGAGGGACCAAAGTGGGGACCAAGGTTTGGCTGCCAGGAGGGCTGGAGGAGGAGGCATCCCCTGGGTATTTGGGGGGCCCTGTAGGGCACAGACACCATCCCCTCTCAGCCACACCAGATGGACCTCAGTGCCAGGCAGTCCGTAAGGACACGTCAGGCTCAGCAGGACCTGGTGCTAGCAGATGGCATTGAGGAAAATCCACCTCTTGGCCAAAATCTTCAGTGATTTTCAATCTTACTCATCGAGACACCAGAAACTCACTGTCCTACCCTGAAACAGCCAAGTTTTTTTTACTGACACTCCTTTCTGCAGCATCTCTTCTGCCATCATGTTCCAGGGGTGAAACTCCTGTCCCCAGCATGGGCATGGGGGCTCCTGGTAGGTCTCAGGGCAGCGGGCAGGCAGGGAGATGTCCCCTAAGCGGGCAGGTTTGGCTGTGTCACACGGTCACATCCCAAAAGAGTGGAGCAGGAAAGCCGGCTGCTCTTGGGGTCCCTGAGGCACATCTCACGTGTCAGCGAGGCACCGTGCCAGGCCAGCCTGGGGAGCTGAGTGCCTTGGCAGGGCTCGCTGTGCCCGGGTTTGGCACGCCAGGAGCCGTGCCAGGAGCCATGCCGGGGCTTGGTGCAGAGGGAGCCGTGCCAGGAGCCGTGCCCGGGCTTGCTGCCGCTGCAGATGCTGGCGGAACGCGCAAAGACATGGCCGGTCCTGGGCACCCACCTGGCCGGGAGGGCACCGAGCCAGCCGGGGCTGCTCGCACCTCCTGGATGCGGGTGATTTGCCCGCGGTGAATTCGCACCCAGCCGTGCTTCCCTGGGGCGGGGGGCACGCACGGGAATGTGCACATCCGCTCCAGGAGCTCATCCCGGACACACAGACACACACACAGACATACTCCCCATGCCCCCTGCAGTGTCCCACCCTCTCACCCACCCACGCTCCAGCTCCCAGGGCCCGTGGAAGTTTGCTTGGTACAGTGGGAGGGAGCCAGCGTGGCTGGGCCACCTCTGCCAGGATCCGTTTCTCCTGCCTTGAATGCATTCCTACCTCCAGTTCCTTGGTGTCCTGGAGCTCTGGCTACCTTGGGGCGGGGGTCTCACCATGCAGACCTTCATTAACCCTTTGTGCCCCAGGCTGGCCGAGGGATAGGACGTACCCAAAGGTTCCCCTGGAGCAGGTGTGTATGCAGCCTGGAGGGCACTGCAGTGCCAGGCAGGCAGGTGCCAGAGCCTCTTTGGCATCACCTTCAGCCCATCCTCGTGCCACGGGGACACCAAGTTGGGCTTGGTTCACTCGGACGTGTCCCTGATGCTCTGAAGGATGTGTCCCTCACCCTGTAACCTCACTCACCACGTCTCTTGCCCCTGCAGCCTGGTAAGGACGGGAGCAGCAGTGCCAGCAGGTCCCCGCCAGGCACCCAGCACCCCCACGGGCAGAGCTTCGTGCAGAGCCACTTCCAGGCCCAGTACAGGTTAGTGGGGGGACCTGTGGGATTTTTGCCCTTCTGTGAGCCCCAGGTGGGCACTGTGAGTCTAGGGAAGGGATGAAACGGGGAGGATCTCCATCTATCCCACCCACCCCAGCCATGGCAACTCCTTCCCCTAAAGCACTTGAAAGTGTCCAAGGCCAGGCTGGACAGGGCTTGGAGTGCCCTGGTGCAGTGGCAGTGTCCCTGCCCATGGCAGGGGGCCTGGACACGCTGCTCCTTGAAAGTCCCTCACAACCCAAACCACGCTGTGCTTCTGTCACACGACTCAGGGCTGTCCCAGCCCTCCAGCACAAGGGTGCCCCTCTGTGGGACACCCACAGGTTCATCTGCCTGGGACTCATGGGATGCTCAGGCCACCCTGTCCCCAAGCCATGGCACTGCAGGCAGCAGGGGACACATCTGGCATCACAAGCCCTTCCTCCTCTCTCAATTAATCCCTCGTCCTATATATGAAAAAAGGCACTTTAATTATCCCTGTTCCACGTGCCAGAGCCGTCTGTGCACTAAAGGATTTATTAATTTGTGTGGCTGTTTCCCAGGGAGCTCAGTGGCTTTTCAAGGTGACAAATAACAAGGACTCAGGATTTTGGTTCGGATTTTAATTTATTCTTTCTCTTTTTGTTGAACAAAAAGGCAAAGAGAAAAAAACGAATTAAAAAAAAAACCAAACAAAAAAAAACCCAACAAAAAAACCCGAACAAAATCATACACAAAAACCCAACAAACACAATAAAACAAACCGAAGAACAGAATTAGGAAGAATCAGCAGTAGGTGGCTGTTGGTGCCAGGGTGGGCAGGGGTCCAGCAGTGTGTCCCCAGGGCCATCCTGGGGTCAGTCACAGGCAGATGTCCTCCTGCTGTCCCTGTCTGCTCCTCCCACGGCCCAGCCACGGCCTGGGGAGGGGGTCCTGTTCCTCCCAGCACCCCGGGGTGTTGTCTCTGGGGTCACTTCAAAACCCGGGACGATGGATTTGGGATGCGGAATCTGGGACGATGGATTTGGGATGTGGTACCGGGGATGCAGCACTGGTGCCAGGGTGCTGCAGACACAGGGTGGGCACCCGGGGGGCCGTGCCCGCTCCGGTGACGCTCCCCATCCATTTCCCAGGTCCTCCCTGACGTGCCCTCACTGCCTGAAGCAGAGCAACACCTTCGACCCCTTCCTGTGCATCTCCCTGCCCATCCCACTGCGCCAGACCAGGTGAGCCCCCATCCACCCCGCGGCGGGGCCACAGCAATTTGCACATTTCGGAGTAAACCCAACACGGGAGGTGGCGGCAGCACCGGGGCCAGGTGACAGCCCCAGCAGCCGTGTCCATCGGGTGTGTGCCATTCGGCGCTGAGCTGCGTCCCCGTGTCCCCAGAGCTCTGAACGTCACGCTGGTGCTGCAGTGCGAGCGCTGGCGCTTCGTGCGAGTGGGGCTGGCCGTGCCGCTGCTGGGCACCGTGGCCGACCTGC